TTTTTTTTTTTTTTTCTTTGCTCAAAATCCTCCTTCACTTGCACCTAAATTTGAGTCAAGTTCCCCAAATTCATACCAAATCAAGTCTGACTCAAATGAGGCAATCTCCTCAAAATTCTTCAGCAGGGATGTTCCAGATGTAGCACTTTTACTACAGAGCTCCTGAGAAATGGTGACATCCCCTTTTAACAATACCTTTTCAATGGGCATCCACTTTTTAAAAAAATAAATGTTCTTTACCTTGCTTACTATCATAGATGAGAATATACTTTATATTAAAGATTAGATTTTTGGAGCTTCAAAGGAAAAGGTCACCATCAAAATTATCTCTGCTTCTCACCTGTCTAGAATGTTAAAGTGAGGGACCATATACCATGGGAAAAAGGAATATTCCCCAATTTACATATCCCTTGCATTAACTAGCCATTCTACTGAAACAGAGCAAATTGGGATTACAAAAAGAACACCAACCAGAGCAGAGCTGATGACCAGGATTTTAGCCAATTAAGGAACTGTCCACTTGGAACTCCGTATTCAGCAGGATTTGCATTGTAGTATCACTGCCACTATTATTTATTACCAGTATCTGGTTTTTCTCAGCTTGCAGTGCACAACACACTGTACTCAGGGCCAGGGCTGTGTATCACAATGATAATTTTAAGACTGCTCTTGCTCATTCGAAAGGATATCAAGACAAAGTCACAGCAGGCATCCCGTGTCAGTTTTGTAAAGCAAATCTTTGCTGTTAATAATTTACAAGGCAATTACATCAGTGACTGCCTCTCAGCCAGCCAGCCCTGCCCTGGTGGAGACCACTCCTCACCCCAGCATCCTGCTGGATCTCACACCGTGTCTGCTGGGACACGAACAAGAAAGGCTCGTCCGGCTTTCAGACAGGACAAGCCTCACCACAGGCTGTCAACCACAAACAGCAAGGTCAAAGTCCCCCAAGGCACGGGCACTGGCCCAGCGCGGTCCGCTGGGGAGCAAAGACTCCTCTGAGGAGACTTTCCAGGCACCCGGCACCTGCCTGCCATTCCCTCCCTAAGAAACCCCTCAGCCACCATCACCTATGTCCCACTTCCACAAAAAAATGCTGTCAGAGTCTCCAGAGAGGGAAGCCGGTGCTGGCAAAGTGGTTCTCTGCAGAACTGGGATTTGCTGTTAAATCCTGATGGTAAGGACTTTGTGAGTCCCTGCTGGGAATGGCCTAAACAGGCCCATGTGGGCTTAGGACTCAGAAGATGCTGCAAGTCCATCACAGAGAATGGGATTTTGCCATCTACGTGCTAGTACAGGCATCCAGAAGGTAACTGCTGCCTTTATGACACTATACAGCAAAAATCTTTATTTTGTTTGGTAACTCCAAGCTTAGGCCAAGCGGATAGGGCCAGCGGGTTCCTCTCTCTCCCAGGCCAACTATTCAGAAGATGCAAAGCCCGGAAAACAATCCCCTGTCTCCACAAAAGGAGGCTGGTGCTGTGTGAGGAGCCAGGGCTGTGTCACGTGTACACTGACCCTCCTGCTCCGAGAGGGAGCCGCTGCCCACGGCCGGGCCACCCGCTGCCCCGCATTGCGCCTCAGGGGCTTCACCTTGAGGAACCGCTCTGGCCTCCACAGTTACTAACCTCAACTACTACTGCCGTGCTTGTCAGAAACTACGCTGGGACACGGCTACTGAACAAACTGACCCGAGACAGCAGGCAACATTTTGACTGGGCTTTGGAGCCCAACAATGATTAATTGGTCTCTTCCAAGGCCACCAAACCCTTAAGCACACGTACCGTTTTACTCAAGTCATAGCCACGGGAGGGAGAGGCCACAGTCTCTCCAAATCACCTCGTATCTTTGCTGAAAAATCTGCAGGACCCCTTCAGCCCTGACCATCTGACCTCAGAGAGACCACCGCTCACCATGCCCTACGGACGCACTGATCACATTCACCTGGGTTTTGTCTCAGAAGCTTCACACTACTTCTTTACTCTTTGTCTCACCTGACTTGCACCTTTGTCTAACCTCACTGTTTGGCTGCTCTGACACTCACAGCCTGCAGCTCTGAAGCCGGACAACAACAAGGGGAAGGCCTGAGGCCACAGCCCTGCTCCCAGCACACGCCGTCACCGCGGCGCAAGGGCCTGGGATGCGCAGAGGAGATGAGTTCAAGGTGCAGACCTGCGCCCGACGGCTCCCCCCGACCAAACCTCGCAGCCAGACCCATCACTCTGCTTGCGCCGAGCGCTGGGAAACACCTTCAGGGCTTCCAGCTGTTTTCGGTGCTCAATTCCACATCGTTTCAGAACCCTCCCCGTTGTTGGATCGGGACAGCCCCTTGGGGGTGTTTTCTGACCAGGCCTGTGCTGCACCCAGCTCCTCGGGACCTGCCCCACAGGGCCCTGCCCCAGCACCCTTCTCGGCTGCCGCGTGGGCCAGAACACCCACAGCCGGGCACTGGGCACTGGAGTGAGCACAGGGAACACAGGCTGCCTCTCTGTGCTCTCACCCCGGCTCTGGAGATTTCCACCCCAACTCCTCCAGGGAGGAAGAGGCCTGTGTCCCAATGGCTTCCCATCCCAGAAAGGCTGACCTTCCTCTCCTAGGGCCCATACTTCCCACCCATACACAGTGCCAAGGAGGGGAAATGTAGCCACTGCTTACATTTGCCTGGCACTGAACCAAAGCCTTGATGGTCTCAGAAGTTAACGTCACCGGCTAGAAAAGAGAACAAAGGCCAAGTGGGAGAAACTCCTCTGATGGTCCATGCTAGAAAGCAGAGTCACTCCCTTGACCCAGCTGCAACAACAAAGACACTTACAGATCCACTGAGGCCCAAGACTTGCACGAGTAGACCAATCGAGGGCAACGGGATCACCCGCATTTCCGGGACTCTGCTCCTTTGCCTGTGAACAGGGAAAGAAGAGCTCTGTATCACTGAACCCGGCTTTGCTCTCTCCCCTGCCAGCCCCTCCAGCACCATTTACATCAGAAGAAATCCAGACACAAAAGGAGCAAATGGTGGCAGCAGGATCAGCTTGGTGTTACTTTACCAACGCAAGGCTGAGCAACTCGGCCAGCGCTGCCCCGCAGCTGCCCCAGCAGTGGGGGTACCTCTCCCCCAGCTCTCGAGTTGCCTTTCAGCTCAGCTGGAGCATCCCACCGATGGCCACGCTGGCTCAGGGGTTTGCTACTGCAGCGGGAGTCACCTGAGGATGGTGTCCAGCCAAAACTCTTTTCTCTGTCGGGATCTGTAGAGACAGGAGAACCAGTATCACACCCCGCTGCCACCAACCAGGGGTCAGGCTGTTTCCCCCACACACAGTGGGAAAACCCAGACCTCTGGCGTCAGGTTCGCTTCTCAAGGTGCAAAGCAGTTTTCTAGCAGAAGCAGAAGGCATCAGGCTGATGCCCCTGCTTCCCCTCACTCCTGAGGGCCCCTCTCTGCAGCTCCAGTCCCAGCAGCTGGAGCACACGGACAGCAGGGCTGTTCCTCCCCAGAGCAGCCGCGAGCGGGGCGGGAGGCAGGGACCAGGGCCTCAGGCCACTCTGACACGGGCAGGACTTGGCCAAAAAGCAGCTCTCCCCTTGTTCTTGGGCCTTAAGCCAAAAAGAGCCTCCCACTGCACTCAGGAGCTTAGGGACTGACAGTGGCTGAGCAAGGGGAGGAGGAAAAAGCAAGTCTTTCTGCTCTCCTGGACAGATGGAGAATGGAGAAGGTCAAAGCCAAGGAGGCTCTGCTCCTCATCGAGCTGTCTCTCTCCAGGAGCCCCTTGTGATCCTGCAACTCTGCAGCCTTTGGGACCCCCTGGGCTGAGGAGCACTGTCGCAGACACGGGGCTTCTCCAGAGCGGGGAGCGACAGCCCAGCTCTGTCAGAACTGCACCTGGGGCTTCCTGGGACCAAACAGGATCAACTGTCTACACACAGCCCCCCCTCAGCCCACGCCCTGCCTCACCCTTTGACAGTGCACAGCTTGTGCAAAGGCTGTGTCCAGAGGGTAGAGGGCCAGCTCAGAAAATCAGCCGAGCTACAGAACGCTGCACAAGCAAAGCGGTGCCTCTGCTTCCCCCCGACCCCGTGACACGAGCCTGAGGAGCCAGCTGGGCTCTGAGGCAAAGCACTGGCCCAGACAGCCCAACGCCTGGCTGACACATCACCGACACTCACATGAAAGTGACCACGCAGAAGCTGCTGGGCCAGATGAGGATGAGGGTGCTGCAGCAGTCCAGGCCCAACACTGTCTCTTCCTCTTCACATCCACACGCTGCCTTCTCACTGTAGACCACCCACAGCTCGCTGAGACACACTCTGTGCTGTAGCCAGAACCTGGTGCCACGTCTGCAGTCAGGAAGAGCAGGGACTGATGGTGAGGTTGCCTTCTGGGGTCAGCTATGGCAATCCTCCTTAGGAGAGCCTCCATATCCAGACAGAGCCCTGGGAAGGGTGGCCCAATGTTGCTGATCACACAAATCGGAACATCCTTGCTGGGGAGACACCCTGGCTCTTACAGCCCTGTTTTCTGACCGCCTGATGCTCCCGAGGAAATTTCCTTGGGACTATCTTTGACATTGGATCAAAGGTAAGCCCGAGATGTCTCCCAAGGGCAGGTATTGTAGGCAGGAGTTGGGAAGAAAGTGTACTGCCATCTTCTCTTCTTACCTGCGCTTGTCAATAGCAAGGGTGTCTTGGAAAAGCAGGAGGTGTCGCATCCTCGTTCTCCCACGCCAGGTCACCTCCACACACTCGCAGTGGAGCAGCTCAGGATGCTGTTGGGACACAACACCCAGTTGTCTGCCACCGGAGCTCCCCCTGCAAAGGACACAGTTGTGGACATAAGATACAGGGCTCTGCTGGGAACCAGCCATGCCTGGTGCCACAGAGACAGAGCAGGCACGCACCGGGAGAAGCAGGAGGCCAGCTGGCCCATCGTGCTGTGGCCAGGCAGACACTTGTGCTGCGGAAGTGCTCAGCAAGGGGAAGAGCAAGGCCCTGCAAAGCCTTCTGAGGCTGGCAAGTGATGTCCCTGTGCCAGGGCAGTGCTGCTCCTCTCAGAGCCCGTCTCTCCCCAGCACTGCCTGTGCCAGCACAGCGCTGCACTGGAAGGCGCTGGTGGCTTGTGACATCACTGTGGGCCCTTTGTGATGTGGGGAGGGGCATGCCCAGGGCGGGGGACAAGGAGCCACTCCTACTCTAATGGCTTTTCCCACACTCCTAGCAAACTAAAGGAACTACATCCAAGCTAAGGGTCCTCAACAAGGCAGGCAGCTGCTGGCAGGAGTCACCTGGGAGCCAAGATAGATACCTCATGCCTGACTCCTTCCAGCTGAGCCAAGGCCTTCCAAAAGGCAACCTCAGGTACCTCGGCTCCTACTGCTGCCACCTCTCTGCACATGTTGATGTCCAGTCTTTCCATCTGCTCCCCCATACTGGACCCAGGGCTCAGGCCAGACTCAGAGAGACTCTTCGGTTGAGAAAAATGAGTTAACAGTCTGGATTTCCTGCTCCAAACAGGCTGTGGATGGACAATCCTCAAGAGCAAGGTGCTGTGGTTAAGGAAGACACAATACCCGTGAGCCGAGGTCACAGGCAAGCACACCAGTGTCACCCCAACAGTCCCACCAAACCTCTTAGACTCCCCCAGTGCCTTTGGTGACACAGTCCATTTCTCTGCTTGGTCTGGGTCACACACCTCCTGTCCCAGGGCACAAGCGTCACACCACAGGCCCAGTGTCCTCAACGGCAGCAGCTACCCAAAATGTTTTGTTGACGTTGGAGGCATGTACGTGCCCAAGAGCTGCTCAGGACTCTTGCCAGGCAGCTACTGCAGCCTGTCTGCCTCCTTTGGAGCAACCTGAAGTCCCAGGTAGCAGCCCCAGACTCTTCCAAGGTAGCTCTCTGAGGAGTGCCCATTCATCATCTGGCAGTCATTCTGCATGAACCTATCTAAAATCCTGCCAAAAGGTCTGGCGTCCTGTATACTAACCCATGATTGAGAAAGACAAAGCCCTGATGGTAACACCAGTCTTGGAGCCACAAGTTCATCTGTTGAGTTCTGTATTCTTCTTCATCCATCCCCCCAGCTGAAGGGATGGAGAAGAACACAATTTGTGCCCCCGACTCCTTAATCAATGTCCCCAGGGCCCAGAAATCTCTCTTCATTGCTTTAGGCCTTCTCCTGGTAATGAAGTCACTACCTACCTGAAAATCCAGGAAAGGGTAGTAGTCCTTGGCTCTCACTAGAGCAGGGAGTTTTGCCGTGAGGTCCTTGACATGGGCTCCAGGGAGGCAGAGACTTCTCTATGAAGCGGGTCCAGTCTGTGCATGGGGCCTTCGACCCCCCTCAGAATGGAGTCACCAACTACAATGACTCTCCTGGGGTTCTTTTTAGAACTGGCTTTAATACCTGGTCTAGAATGACCCGGCCACTGTGGACCTTGGTTTTCTTCCTTGTTTGTCTTATTCTCTTCCTTCTTCGCTTCTTCATTCAGAAGTTCCAGGGCCCCGAATCTATTGAGAAGGGAAAACATGGAGGATGAGGGAGGTTGGGAGAGTATTTTCCTGCTTCCCTGCGCGGGGACCTGTTTCCTGTTATAGATTACACATAACATTCAGTATCCCTTCAGGTAACTGGTGCCCTTAACAGCTTTGTCATAGTTTATACACTATCACCAACCATTTTTTAATAAGGCCAGTGAATTCCAAAAGCCAGGTTTCTTTTGACAGCCAGCAACAATTAAACCAGTCATTGTTAAACAGTGAGCAAGTTAGGCTTTGGTTATTTTAAATATCTATTTTTTTGTATGAGCTGCCACACATTCTTCTCTATCAAGTGCTCTACCTGTTCATCTGAAGCAGTCTCTGTAACAAACTGGAACAATGTAAAGATGTGTAAATGTGCTCACTCTTTCAGCTCAGTATACATCTCCTATCCAGGCTTCTCAGCTGCAAGTCATCTCCAAGATCAAGATTATCAAAAACAGTTCGCACACATGGTCTTGCAAACACCAGATCAATCTTAAGAGGGGAAAAAAGTGCAAACTGTGAGTTAGAATGCTGCACCGTTAGTGGGGGACAGTTAGTCAAGTCTAAAAAAAGAGTGGTTAACATCTGTATTTAGAACTATGTGACTACAGATACATCTCCCAAATACATTTGACAAAAAATCTCAAGAATATGCTAGAAGTTCCATATTTTATTTACGAAACCTTCGTTGTATCCCCCTTTCTTTTTAAGCTAGGGAAAGGAAGGGATTTTTAAATTGAATTGGTTAAACTTCCAATTTCCATTAAAATGGAACTTAAAATTAATCATAGAATTAAGACGTAATTTCAATCTCCTCAGCTGTACTTCCCCCAAGGAGAGAGCATTTTCTCTATGCAGTAAGCCTTTTGATCCTGAAGCATCTGGTTCATAGCACAGTCTGAGGCAAGACAGTTATTCTGTGAATGTCTGCACCAGACAAAGGCCACAAGAAGGTCATGGAAAAAGGGTCTTCATGAGAGTGAGACCAAGCAGTGACTTGCTTAGGTTCTACAGCACGCAGGTCTCCATTCACCGTATAAGAGGCAGTCAAAGATACAAGGATTCCTGCAGCTGGCAAACCCAGGCAGGAGTCACATGAGTACTTTCACTTGTCATTTTCCAGATTGTTTGTCTCATGACCACTTAATTTTTGGTTTGCAACAAAGCACTTAATCTGCTGACATGATTCACACAGTGAACGACACCATACCCAGCCCTCTGCAGAAAGCCAGCTTGTCAGAGCTGGGAGGAGTCAGCAAGGACCCTTCCTCTGCTCCCACGCTGCACAGTCCCTGGGAGACAAGTGCTGTTCAAGCACGCTACCCCACTCTAAGCACAGGTTTAGCAAGGGGTGTCCCTCATGTCCCCGCCACTCGCCAGGCTCCCCGGGGGCTTATTTTCGATCAGCTCCCATTTTCCTGCAGCGTCTTCTCCTGGGACAGGCTGTGGTCAGGCTGTTTAATTACAGTTTCCTAAATACACTCCAAGATACCCATAACCTTGTGAAACAGCCTGGTCACAGGTCCCTGGAGAAGTTCTCCTGTTCCAAAGGAAGAAAAAATAGTTCTCACTTAGGAAAAAAATGCAAACCTCTTACCTCAACACCATCAAACTTGACAACTGGTACATATGCATCTTCAGCTGCCTGTAAAGGAGCGGATGACTGTGTAAGAAAATATTTTTTGCTACTTTCATGTTCTTCCTAAACTGTGACAAACTACAGAATCTACACTGCTAAACTGCTTAGTGTAAAGACTGAGTTGCTTCTGAACCAAAATCTGTTAATAAGCTGCAAGCAGTATGGCACTACTACAATACTAATACTGGCTTAAAAAAGTTACTTAGCCAAGAGATTCAGAGGCTGATCCTGCGCTGTAATGAACCAGCACTGCACAACGCGCCACCAGTGTCAGAGCTGCTGAGGCACTTACTCTGGCTGTGAGGAAGAAAAGTAAGAGATTTCTGTAGCTATCTTACCACTGGTTAACATCCAGAGAAATCTAAAAAGTTCTGTCCACATCTGACAGTGTGTACTACCCTTCCCTATTTGGATTTTCTACCGTGCCTGAGGGCTGTCAGGTACATTATGGGACAGTTTTTGATGCTGCAGACCCTTGTCAGAACTCTGCCGCAGCCCACTGAGAGCCTGTTCTCAGGGGACAGTCATCCCAGCAAAGGCTCATCTGCTGTGCACATGAAGTCTTTCCAAATGCCTGCACGAGGAAGCCCAGGCTAAGAGGAACACTTCTCAGGAGCTCACTGTCCCAGGTGAGATGCGCAATACATTCCCCGGGGGTGATTTTACAAAGCAGTTTGCACGTTCACAGCCCAGCCCCTACTCACCTGATGTCAAGCTGACAGCGTGCGGCCCTTCCGCAACGTCTGCGTGGCCAAAGAGGAACAGGACCAGGGGAGAATGAACTAGAGGCTCTAAAGTACATCCAGAGGGAGACCACAGTTACTGTTACTGATTTGTTACTGAGCTGATGATTTTTGGTGATTTTGGTAAGAAATGATTAGGACTAATCAATTAAATGGAAACACAGAAATATCGGGGTTTATATAGATAGCGGTGTAATATTTTTAGTAGTCATAGAGATGTTGTATTTAGTTTAAAGTAACCATGCAGCCAGTTATGCTGCTAGATGAGGTACCATTGTTAGACTGTCTGGTGGGGATGATTTAGTGCCCTGTAGACCAGGTGTTTTAAAAGTTGCATTGTGAAAGGGCCTTGAGGCGTGTTAAAATTGCAATGTGAGCCAAAGTCCTTGAGTCAAGGACATTGGAATGTCTGTCTTTTAGGTCAGTAGTTCATGGTGGTTGCAAAAGAAGCCCCCGTGACTAGAAAGGGTTGAGAATAAGAAAATGAGTTACAGTAATGAACATGTTTATCCATGAGAACTTGATTAATAGCACAGAATCGTCTAGGTTGGAAAAGACCTCGAAGCTCCTCCAAGCCCAGCCATCAACCCAACATTAACAGTTCTCAACTCCACCAGATCCCTCAGCGCTATGTCGACCCTACTCTAAAACACCTCCAGGGATGGGGACTCCCCCCCTGCCCTGGGCAGCCCATTCCAACACCCAACAGCCCCTTTGTGGTAGTGCAGTTCTTACCCCTCCCTGCCCTCCTTGTTGGGCTGCTTGGTGCCAAGTGTGATTCCATCCACATTCCCCCAGGCCATACACCAATCTGTGGAGATAAGGACTGATAACCTTGAGGAGCCTGGCTCCTGCCCCTCCCAATTGCTCAGAAACTGTTATAATGGCCCATCATCTCCTGATGACCTGACACACCTGTGCCTGGGATGTGATCAGATGGAACAATAACAGGGTTGCATGTTACTGAAATTCTTGTGCAACTGCTGGAAGGCACCAGATAGTATTTGACAAAAGTCAATTATCTTGGACCCTATAAATTGCGACCACCAGAGAGACCCTTTGAGCTCTCCTGGATTGCAGCGGGCCTGTGACCAGCATCTCCCCTGAGCAGGGACGCCTCTCAGGTGTCATCTGCTCCAGACGGAA